CATCCGGGGCCTCAATCGATCCGGAGAGGATCCACTCCTCGCGGTCCCGGATGGCCTGCTCCATTTCCAGTGGAGAATAGGTGTGCGATTGTCTGGCGCCTGCCGCACGAAACAGAAGTTGTTGCAGGGTCTTAGTAGCGAGCTCCAAATCCGCCTCCTCCAGCGGTTGTGGTTGGGAGCCGAGTATCCTTGCGAGGATCAAGTTGTAGGTGTCCGAGGCCACCAGGACATGGTTGCCGTCAGGTGCCAGCCCCACGATTCGTGTCCACGGTCGCGGGTCAAAGACCACCGCATCCGGGTTGGCAACCTGGTCCTTTTTGACCCATTCCAGGCAGCACGCCACGAGGATTTCCCCGTCCGACTGCACTGGTGCAAATCCAAGGTCATGCAAAATCAACTGGAACGCGGTTGGTACCCCAAGGAAGGTCGTTCCAAACGGGGAGGGGAGGCGGGGCCTCCACATCATCGTGATCCACTCGAGCCAGGAGCCTAATTCCTAGGCGCAAACCCCAACCAAACAACAGGGGAGCCCCCAAAACCCCGGAAAGCCCATCCCGAAACGGGGGAAAAAGGGGGGGGGGACCCAGGGAGCCGCCCCGGAAAGGGAAGAACCAAACAAGGGAGGGGAGCCAAGGCGCACCCCGGACCAGCCCAAGCGCGCCAATTTTTCTCGCCTGGTACAGGTCTAGGCCTGTGCTGTGCCCAGGGGGGGATATCAGCGCCCTCGGCAGCTGTCCCCCCCGGGGTGCGCTGCGAATCCGTTCCGGATGGCCGCAGTGCTGTATGATCATACGGCCCCCTTTGCAATGTCATCAATGCGCTTGAGCGCCGCCGCCTCCGGATTCCGGAGAATCAGCTCCCAGATGGCGTTTGAAACGTGGCCGGTCTGGGTGATGTGGCTGAACCTAAACCGGGGGACTTTCTGGTCCACCACGGAGACATCCCGCAGCGGGGCCGAGGGCTCTACCCGGCGGTAGAACTCCAACCGCTCCTTGACCCAGCGGTTGTACAGGCCCTCCGGCGGCTCGTCCAGCACCAGCTGAAGGATGGCCTTGCCGGCCCGGATCTGGAGGAGGCGGGTGCCCCCTCCCCCGGCGCGCCAGTACCCCTTGCAGTACTTGCACATGTAGCCCCCCCGGGTCTCCCCTTTGGTCTTCGGGATGAGTTCCCACGGGGTGACGGAGCTCAGGACCAGGCCACACTCCATGTGCGCCCAGAAGACATGCTTCGTCTCCGCCGGATAGTTCTTCTTCCGGTAGTCCTTGCCCACCACGCCGTGGACGTTGTCCGATGTGATGGGGGGGTAAACGATCCCCTCATCGCCCTCTCCTCCCCTGGGGCGGATGTCAGGGCCATCGGCACCTGTCCGGCACCCAGGGGCGGAGGGGTCAAGGCCCATCAGCTTGATCATGTCGCTGGTGTAGCCGAGCTTGCGGTAGATGGAGGGGGCTACTGAGTCGGGGACTGCGCCGACCCACCACGCCAATTGACCTTCACCTCCGCCAGGGCCCCCGGGCCTCCAATGCGGTCCATGAGGGCCTTGTACACCTCTGGGAACTGCTGGAGACTCTCCACCGGGACAGATATGCGCTCATCACATACCGCCCGGAGGATCATCTGTTCCTTGGAGTCCGCCACGTCCTGGACCGGGAGCTGCATCACCTCCGCCGGGGTGTCCGTGAGGAAGGCCCGGGCCGCGAGGACCTTGCCCATGGCCCGGTAGACCAATCGCCACTCCGGTCCTGTCTGCGGAAATGGAAGGCCCTCCTCCTTCAGGAAGCACCGCGCGTCTTCCTTCAGGGTCTCCCAGCCCTCCAGGCGGATCTGATTCTGGGCCTTGTTCTTCGGGCCCCGCTGCCTAGGGCCCTGTAAGCAGTGGCAGGGACTCCCAGACTCCCCAGAGCTGGCGCAGGGTGAAGCTGTGACCAAACATCCCCAGTAAGCCTGGAAGTGTCCAGGACGAGATCTGGCGCGCCCAGTGGAAGTCCTCATCCGGATCGTGGGGGGCCGCCCAGAAGATGGAACGCAGGTCCTCGGGGTAGGGTCGGTCCCCCGCCTTAGCCTGCTGGTTCAACTCATCAACGGAGTACCTGGCCCATGGGAGTCCACCCACCTGGTGGTTCCTGGGATGCGTACCCCTCTCCAGCGCCTCCGGATTCACCTTGGTGAGGTTGTTGGCCCAGTCCGGGACGTGTACGGGGCCCGGTCGTCGGACCCAGCGGCCCGCAAAGATACGGACCTCTCCGACCCGTTTGCTCATCATCCAGCGCAGGACCGCGAGCTGCACCTCCGGGTCCTGGGTATCCAGGGCCCCTGGGGTGGCAGACGGCTTGTCAGGGCCCTCGGCACCTGAGCTCGTCGCGCCAGAGCCCGAGGCTGGGGGGATGGTGCTGCCTGTCAGGGCCCTCGGCACCTGGGCGCGCCGCACCAGAGCCCCCCGCCTTTGGAATGGGGATCCCCGCCAGATCCGGCAGATCTGCCAGGAGGGCCGCCGGAAAGGGGTTCCTACCCAGCGAGATGACCGCCTTGGCTTCGAGGTAAGAGTCCGTGAGGGACGTGAGGTCGTCCATGCTGAAATCCCTCCATGCCGTGGTCGGCTCAAAGACCCCCGTCTCAATGGCAACTCGGACCTCGTTAGGCCACGCACTGAATGGGGGCTTGATGGGCTCAAGCATTCTGGTCTCGTGGGCGCCCTTCGCTTGTCTGGCCTGGTGCTTTGCCTTCGCCTCCTCCGCAGTGGTCTGGGCCTGGAGGAGCTCCGGTGTGGGCCTCCCCCAGTCCGCGCCCAGCTTATCCAGCAGTTTTTCCCGGAAAAGGTCCAAGTCCAAATTCTTGAGGAGTAGGCCCCCATCGCCTCCTCCATCAATGGCCCCTCCTTGAAGCTCGTGGAGGACCGCCGCGGATCGCTCCACCGCTGCCACCTGGTCTGCCTTCTTGGCCTCCTCCTGGGCAATGGTGGTGGCGTTGAGCCGGGTCTGGATTTTGAAAGCCTTCACCGCCGACGGGTGGAAGGCCCTGCATTCCTGGCCCTCTTCCTTGTCGCCCGGCAATGGAGGCCTCTCCCCCATTGGGGCCGTCAGGAAATCCTCGTCCAGCTCCATGGGGCAGTTTCTGATCACCGCCCGGACCGAGGAGGGGACAAAGTCCGAGAAGCTTGCCTGGTCCGGGTTCTCGCATGCCATCGGGTCGGTGGCCAGCTCGCTGACATCCACCGAGGCGCTGAGCTTGAGGTCGCGGGCCCGGTCCGTATCAGGGCCATCGGCACCTGCGGACCGGGCCGCCGTCCAGACCGCATTGCCCTGGTCATCCACCGTCAACTGCCAGTGCGTGCCCGCCATCTCCAGGGTGGCCGAGTTGGTCGCCATGTCAATGGGCTCCGTCTTCTTGCCGCACCCCATACACTTCCTGGCGCCCTTCTTCACCCAGGGCATGGTGCAGCAGGGGCAGATCCAGGATGTGGGCTCCTTACCCAGGGGGCGGTTCTCCAGGCCCCCATACCCCAGGCCAGCGCGCTTGCCGACCTGCTGTCCCGGGGTGCTGAGCCGGGCCTCATGCTCATACTTCATCTTGGCGATGTAGAACGCCTCCACCACACGCTCCAGGCCCCCCTGCTTGAGTTGGGGGCCCTCAAAGCCTCTCAGGAGCCGCTGGACGTCCTTGGCCTGCAGTCGGCGGAGCCTAGTGGCCGTGGTCGCATCAAAACACGGGAAGTCGCCCGCCATCTGGTCATCGCTGAATTGGTAAAGGCCCTCAGAGACTTTGAGGGCCTTGGTGAAGACGCTTCCCCCCGGCGGGGGGGCTGCGGGGTCCTCATCCTCCTCCGAGGACGCCTGCTCCCTGACCTTCGCCATCAGATCACGGCGTCTCTGCCACTTGGTGTCGGACATCGGGAGCTCCTCCTCGTCTTCCGCCAGGAGTTCTTCCATGGGAACATCCTTCTCCGGCGGGTTTAGGAGCTCCAGGAACGCCCCTGGGGGGCGTGTCAGGGCCTTCGGCACCTGCGCCACCCCAGGGGCTGAGTCTGCCATCAGCTCGTCCTCTGCCTTGCGCTTGGCTGGGATGAGTGGGGCCTGCTCCAGCTCATCGGCGCTGGAGAAGAACCGCTCGTCAGGTGCCTGAGGGACCTCAGCAGCCAAGACGGTCCATCCTTCTTCCTCCTTCTTCACGAGGCTTGCCAGGTACTTCGCCATGGAGGCCTTTGCCTTCGCCTTGGCCTCTGCAACCGCGGCACCAGCGTAGGCGGGGGCGTACATGGCTTTGATAGGAGGGGAAAGAAAGATTTCAGATTACAAGACAGAAGGTCAGAGTCCACTTGAGCCAAAATGGTGGCCCAAGTGGACACTTATGAAGAGTCAAGACAAGCGACCACCTGCGGTTAACGCTTTAGCCCAAGCATGCTAGCAGTAAAAGCGGCCAAAGGAACCTGGACGAAATCTTGAGACAATCCAAACATAAAACACCCAAGAGAGATAACACAGAGTGCGCTGCTCGACTGTAGATATGTACACAACACATGTTGGTTAACCTCACCCAACAGTTACAACGCAGGGGGCATATTCCAGGTAGCATACGCTACTCATTGTTCGCCCGCAGTTGCAGGTGGACGCGAAATCGAAAACATTGCGATTCACAAACTTTGATAACTCTCAATCTTATGTTTCGACCTAAAGTCAGACGCACCATCTTTCTCAAATGCAAAACATCAGAGGGCCACATCTGGTTCTCGCTTAGGTCTTCTCTCTTTTCGCTCACTGCACCATCCAGCCTGAATGATAATAATGCTCACATGGGTCTGTCCTTTTGTCAAGGGTACCCCTTTTCCTTTTTAGTGGTTTCAAAGAAGAACCACCAGGAAAACCACCATTTTGGGGGCTCCACTAAAAAAACCACACGCCCACAAGTATGCACCCACGTGCGCGCCCACGCACTGGGTGCACGCACGAACTCACACAGACACAGACACAAACACCACACACGCACACTCAGTTGTACCGAGGATCTTGCTGTACATCAGATCGAACTTGTGGTCAATGCGGGAGAAGACTTCGGCGATGGCCGTGCTGTTCGAGATCATACAGCAGGCGCGCATGACCTTCGCCAAGTCACCACCTGGCACCACCGTAGGAGGCTGGTAGTTGATGCCGCACTTGAAGCCAGTCGGGCACCAGTCCACAAACTGGATGGTGCGCTTGGTCTTGATGGTGGCAACTGCTGCGTTCACATCCTTCGGGACAACATCTCCGCGGTACCTGTGCAATGTCATGACTTGGCGCTATAGCACGCAACACTCGATTACACGAGGAAGCAACTTTCAACCATTGTGTCGAACTCTGAACATGCACAGAAAGCAACTCACTCACACAAGCGTCCACACACACACACAAACGCACTCACTCACTCACTCACTCACTCACTCACTCACTCACTCACTCACTCACTCACTCACTCACTCACTCACTCACTCACTCACTCACTCACTCACTCACTCACTCACTCACTCACTCACTCACTCACTCACTCACTCACTCACTCACTCACTCACTCACTCACTCACTCACTCACTCACTCACTCACTCACTCACTCACTCACTCACTCACTCACTCACTCACTCACTCACTCACTCACTCACTCACTCACTCACTCACTCACTCACTCACTCACTCACTCACTCACTCACTCACTCACTCACTCACTCACTCACTCACTCACTCACTCACTCACTCACTCACTCACACAAAGACGCCTGCACAACATACTAACATCAATTTGAATGATGACTGGCCGAGACACATCATGCAGCAAGCCATGTACTTGCCATGACGAGGATCGCACTTGACCTCGCGTGTCCAACAGGACTGGAAACAAAACGGACACCTTTGTGTAGGACTGTATTCAGCCATAAAACAGTGAGTCAAACAATTGAAATATCAGCGTTGCAGAACGAAGTGGCCATCATCGAGGCAGGCTCAAACACGGACATGGTGATCTCCGCCACGGAGAGCTGCTCATGGTACGCCTTCTCTGCCGAGATCACCGGAGCAAAGGAGGTGAGCATGAAGTGGATGCGCGGGTAAGGGACAAGATTTGTCTGGAATTCGGTGATGTCCACGTTCAAAGCCCCGTCAAACCGCAAGCTCGCAGTCAATGAGCTAATGATCTGAGCGATCAGCCTGTTCAAGTTCGTGTAGGTCGGGCGCTCAATGTCCAAGTTCCTGCGACAGATGTCGTACAACGCCTCATTGTCCTTGTTGCTGCAAGCTGCTCCAAGCACACCCCACACCCAACACACGATCATGGTATTGCAATTTCTTGGCAGTTGCAATGGGTCTGATCTCCAATAAAACAAGGCAAATTCATCGCATCATAGATAATTATTAATGCTATCATGCCAAGCGTACGATTTCACCGCAAAGCGGCCGATTCCCAAAAAACCAGCGAGCCACCCAATCAAATTGCATTCAACTGGCTATCCAGCGGCAACTTCCAAACAACACAGACACACACACACACACTTCAAGCAGAACGCCAAGGGAGATGTTGTGCACTGCGTCGAATTCAGTTTACCACGAAAGCTAGCTTGTATACCATGTATATTATATATATATATGCATACATCATGTATCTATATATCTATTCATTCGTGGACCGTGCAGTGGTAATTGTTGCCAAGTAACGTACATGATCGTCACATCCGTGTGCTCGAGCAGGGAATGGACGCAAAGCACGGTGTTGTAGGGCTCGACCACTGCAGTTGCCACCTGTGGGCACGACCAAACTGTGAAGGAGATCTTGCTCTTCTTGCCATAGTCCACGGACAAGCGCTCCAACATCAGGCAGCCCAGGCCGGATCCCGTGCCGCCGCCAACTGCGTTGTACACGCAAAAGCCCTGCAATCCGGTGCAGTTATCAGCCAGTTTGCGGATTCCTCAGTGGCACACCTGATGCCAACGTGTGACAAACAGTAGGCCATCTGTCGGTGGAAAACCACATTGAATCAACACTCGTGAGCTGCTCTGAACTTCCGTCGGTGAACGGTGGAACCACACAGACCAACTGAAAGGAGGTTAGTATGTTTGTTAGGAAATCACCCAACAACTCCTGCCGGACCAACGTACAAGCTTTGCCAACTCCAAACGAGGTTCGGTCCAAAACCAAATCCACAATCTCCTTGCCGATGGTGTAGTGCCCGCGTGCCTCAAATAACAGAAAACATTTACGGGAAAAAAACACATGTTGTTTTTAGGGTGTGGCCGCGACATGACACCACAAGATTGGAAAACACCAGCGCAAGCTTATATTTAGCACTGGCACGAAATTGTTCGCGGCATCTTCCTTGCCAGAGATGAGCTGCTCTGGGTGGAAGAGCTGACGGTAGGTGCCCGTGCGCACTTCGTCAACGACCGTCGGCTCAAGGTCGACCATCACACAACGGGGAACGTGCTTGCCGGCTCCAGTCTCACTGAAGAAAGTGTTGAATGCCTCAAACCGGCGTTTAGACGCTGCAGAAACCCACGCCACGTTCTTCGCATGATACGTTTGAATCCATGCGCCCTGTTCTTGCTGAACAATCAAGAGGTGGGGGCTTGCAGCAGTGCTGAGACGTTCAGGCTGACGTGAGGGAAAGATTTTGAAAATAAGCGCAAAACTCATTTGGAAAACACATTGAAACAAACGGACAATAATATAGAAAGGGCAAACAACAGGCCAAAAAAAACATGACACCGAATAAGCCCAAAAATTGGAAGAGAGGAAAAAAACAAAGGCCAAAAACGAAGAAGAAAAAACATCGGACGGATGAAAGAAAACCGGATGAGGAAATGTGAAGAATGCAGGGAAGAACAAGAAAGCCGGTTGAAAGCAACAAAAAACAAAGGGAGCAACAATAACTGGAACAAGTCTGTCTGTCTCTGTCTCTGAAAGCAAAGAGAACAAGACGGAAAAAAACAGAAATAACAAAGGGGAACAAAATGAACAAGACAAAACGGAATGCCGGCATCTCAGACCTTGGCCCGGCAATGTCTGACGACAACGACAACGACAACAACAACGACAACGACAACGACAACGACAACAACCACGACCACGACCACGACCACGACCACGACCACGACCACGACCACGACCACGACCACGACCACCACGACCACGACCACGACCACGACCACGACCACGACCACGACCACGACCACGACCACGACCACGACCACGACCACGACCACGACCACGACCACGACCACGACCACGACCACGACCACGACCACGACCACGACCACGACCACGACCACGACCACGACACGACCACGACCACCACCACAACACAACCACACCCACCACAACCACAACCACAACCACAACCACAACCAACAACAACAACAACAACAACAACAACAACAACAACAACAACAACAACAACAACAACAACAACAACAACAACAACAACACACAACAACAACAACAACAACAACAACAACAACAACAACAACAACAACAACAACAACAACAACAACAACAACAACAACAACACAACGACAACGACAACGACAACGACAACACGACAACAACGACAACGACAACGACAACAACAACAACAACAACAACAACAACAACAACAACAACAACAACAACAACAACAACAACAACAACAACAACAACAACAACAACAACAACAACAACAACCGGTACGTTTAGGGGCGGGATGATTTAGGCGGGTTTGGGCTTGGTTTGGGATGGGTTTCGAGGGGGTTGTTTATAGGCGCAGGGCTGAAAAGGCGTGTTTTGTTTCTCGCTTGCCTGCCTGCCGGCGGAGAAAAGAAAACAAATAACATGGCACCCAAGAAATGAATCGCTGAGAAATCAGGCACGATACGTCATCACCGCCACCAATAGTCTTGTCGGACGGCATCTGACCATCAGGTTGGATGCCGTGCTCCAAGCAGAACAGCTCCCAGCAGGCGTTGCCAATTTGCACGCCCCCCTGGAGCATGGGTTGGAAGTTGAAAAAATAGGTTCGTACCCGATGCCTTTGAGGTACCCTACCAGAACATGCATTTGAGCAGTGTTCTAAACCAGTTGCGGCCGAAGAGAAATATCAAATCCCTTCCGCGAAGGCTTCCGCAGAGCTTGCGCGGCATGCCTTCCGCAAGAAGTTTGAAGAGGGAATCGCTTCTGCGTCGCCGCTTCCGCGGATTGAGAAATGGGTTTGAAGATGGTTTTGCTTCCGCGCGTGCAGGAAAACTACAATTTCTTGATTTTGTGATTGCATCGTAGACCTTCCACGAAGCTTCCGCGGTACATAAATGAGAAACCCCTTCCGCGAACCTGCGCGGCGCTTCCGCGACCTGGGAAAAGTCAACATTTTGAAAACGATATTTCCTCCCGAATACTACTTTCAAGTGCAGAGGTTTTAGAACGTCACTCATTTGCATAATCCAGAGTGTCAAACTGCCAAGGGGGTCATCTTGGAAAACGGTCCCAGAAAAGAAACATCTCAAATTAGTAGAGGCTTGCAAAAACTCTGCACTACAGCTCTACAGCTCCTGGCCGATGTGGATGCAGATCGCCTCGCGCATGGTGGAAAGATGAAGACAATCAGAAAGTGCCGGAAACTCACCGTGCGATGTGGCTGCCTCTAGCACAAATCCTGGAGCCAAAGCCACAAAAACAATAGCATGTCTTGCATGTAACCCAACGGTCTGTTGTCTTGAAATATGATTAAAACCATCAGAATCGATCCACAGACAAGAATCCTGATTTTCATCTTCAAGCAACTTGCAATCAGCCAACTTCAGTCAACAAGCCATCGGAGCGAAAAGTAAGCAAACCCTAAAGCGCTGTCAACAGGAACTCCAACACACTGCAATAAACAACCCTTCAGCGGCTGCTCCTCGCGCTGCATTTCTTCATGTGTGTTGGATCCTCAAACAATCACAAAGCACAGCCCCCCCCCCCCAGGGACGCCCGAAGACAAGCATGCAGTAGAAGCAGGAAAAAGAAGGAAACAAAAAACACACAGCTGGCCATTTTACCAAGCGGCTACTTCCTACAGTTGAGCAACGCTATCGGACCGACAAGGCCCGCAGCCGCAAAACCAGGCCCGCTCTTTTCTGCTCGTTTCCCCCGATCACCCGCACTGCCATACTTGCATCAGAGCTCAAGCGTTTCTCGAACCCTGAACACGAGTATGGATCGCTGTGCCACTGTTGCTGATTCTGGTAGCGCTATCAAGCACATCTTCCCCCTTGCTGTTTGCCACCAACGGGAGTGAACATCTCTTAATGACGGCATGGACCAGCAACAATGGACTTGCATCCCGCCAGCGCTGGCAGCTCTGTGTGCAAACAAGGCAGGACTCCAAAACAGGCCAGTCACTCAGCCACGGCCTAGAACTCATCACCGTAGCCTGGCGTGTTGGGCTGGAAGCAGGGTGAATGTGTTCTTGTTCAAATCAAACCAGGCTCTTTCGGCATGAAAAGGTTGGCTTGGAGGTTCTATTCCAAGAAAAACCGTTTGGAACAGACATACCCTTCCCGAAGCCACCCGCGCCTTCCTCTTCGCCCTCCCCTTCGGCCGTCTCAATGCCCACCTCCTCGTAGTCCTTCTCCAATGCCGCCAAATCCTCGCGCGCCTCGGAGAACTCGCCCTCCTCCATGCCCTCTCCCACGTAGTGGTGGACGAAGGCACGCCTTTGCCAAAGGAACCCAAGCAAAATCTTGAGGCAATCCAAACACTGAACAAAACAAGAGATCTGGTATGGTCTTGTGCGATCCCAACATGCAAACACACACACACACACAAACACACATAATGCTCTTGTCTGTACATGTGTGCAGGTGTGTTGGTTAATCTCACTCAACAATGACAACGTAGGGACACATTCCAGGACTGCCCCACCGGCACCCTCAGCGGCTCTCAAATCGGATGTTTCGACCTAAAAGTGAGCTGCGCTATCTTCAAATGCAAAACATCTGAGGGGCGCCACTGGGCGCCACTCTGTTTCTCGTTCAAAATTGATTCGCTTCGCTTACTAAACCATCCACAATGACAATCATGTGCACATGGGGGTGTTTCTTTTTGAGGGTGCCCCTTTTCCTTGTTGGTGGTCTTAAAGGGGAACCACAAGGAAAACCACCATTGTGGGGGTCCACGCAAAAAAAGACACACCCTCATCCACACAGGGTAGCACATATGTATCACTGGTGGGACCCCATAGTGGTTCCTTGGAAAAACATGAAGCCGCTTGCTTGTTCTGAAGCTGAAGGGACAAGCAGAAGAACAGCTTCCAGCAATTCGGATGGCTTCAACAAATCAATTGATCGCTTGCCGCGAAGCCAATGTTGCAGGAGCTACAAACATCGCGGAGCACATTGACTCCCAAAAAGAAAAATCAACTTGTCCCATGGTGTTGCAAGGCGTCTTCCACCACAGCTGTTTCAAGCCATGCACTCGCACAAACACAACACACGCACACACACACACAGACACACACACACACACACCCAAGCATGCACGCGAACAAGCACGCACGCACGCACCCACCGAACTCACGCTCCGGGCGCACGAACGAACTCACACAACAGAGACAGAAATACACACAAAGACACAATAGCTGTAGCAAGAATCTTGCTGTACATCAGATCGAACTTGTGGTCAATGCGGGAGAAGACTTCGGCGATGGCCGTGCTGTTCGAGATCATACAGCAGGCGCGCATGACCTTTGCCAAATCACCTCCCGGCACCACTGTAGGAGGCTGGTAATTGATGCCGCACTTGAAGCCAGTCGGGCACCAGTCGACAAACTGGATGGTGCGCTTGGTCTTGATGGTGGCAACTGCCGCGTTCACATCCTTCGGGACAACATCTCCTCGGTACCTGTGCAATGTTATGACTCTGCTCTACGGCACGCAACACTTGATAAGGAAGCAACTTCCAACCATTATCTCGAGCTTTGAACATGCACAGAAAGGAAGTAACTCCCACAAACGTCCACACACGCAAACGCACACACATACTGCATACACACCTACACAAAATACTAACATCAATTTGAACGATAACTGGCCAAGAAACATCATGCAGCAAGCCATGTACTTGCCATGACGAGGATCGCACTTGACCTCGCGTGACCAACCGCGCAGAAAACACAGCGAAAGGGACTGTTTTTCAGCCATAAAAACAGGAAGTCTACGTATTGACAGGTCAACGTTGCAGAACGAAGCGGCCATCATCGAGGCAGGCTCAAACACGGACATGGTGATCTCCGCCACGGAGAGCTGCTCATGGTACGCCTTCTCTGCCGAGATCACCGGAGCAAAGGAGGTGAGCATGAAGTGGATGCGCGGGTAAGGGACAAGATTTGTCTGGAATTCGGTGATGTCAACGTTCAATGCCCCATCGAACCGCAAGCTCGCAGTCAATGAGCTGATGATCTGAGCGATCAGCCTGTTCAAGTTCGTGTAGGTCGGGCGCTCAATGTCCAAGTTCCTGCGACAAATGTCGTACAACGCCTCATTGTCCTTGTTGCTGCAAGCTGCCCCCCCCCCCCCCACACACCCACACCCAACACACGAGCATGGCCTTGCAATTTCTGGGCAATTGCAATGTGTCTAAAACAGCTCAATGCTAGTTCATTGCATCATAGATACCTGTTCTTAATGCTATTATGTCAAGCGCCTTCCAAACACGCTCCGAGCAAAAACACCGAGCGAGATGTTGCGCACTGCGTCGCATTCAGCTCACCACGAAAAAAGTGTGTATAATGTGTATATATATATATATGTACATATCATGATATGTATGTGTATATATATATATACATACAATTATATAAGTATATCATGTATGTGTTAATCAATGCATACATCTATTCATTCGTGGATCGTGTGCGGTTGGAAATTGTTGCCGAGTAACGTACATGATGGTCACATCCGTGTGCTCGAGCAGGGAATGGACGCAAAGCACGGTGTTGTAGGGCTCGACCACTGCAGTTGCCACCTGTGGGCACGACCAAACTGTGAAGGAGATCTTGCTCTTCTTGCCATAGTCCACGGACAAGCGCTCCAACATCAAGCAGCCCAAGCCGGACCCCGTGCCGCCGCCAACTGCGTTGTACACGCAAAAGCCCTGCAAACCGGTGCAGTTATCGGCCAGTTTGCGGATTCCTTAGTCATGCAAACTTGCAAAGAACAGCTGGTAGCTAGAAAATAACCGACATATCCTGCTAGACCAACTTTCAAGCTTTGCCAACTCCAAAAGGGTTCGGTCCAAAACCAAATCCACAATTTCCTTGCCGATGGTGTAGTGCCCGCGTGCCTCACATCATCAAAACATCTGCAGGAAAAGCGCATGTTGGTTTTTTGGTGTGGCCGTGACCTGGACACCAAAAGATTGGAAATCCACCAGTGCAAACCTAAATTTGGCACTGGCACGAAATTGTTCGCGGCGTCTTCCTTGCCAGAGATGAGCTGCTCTGGGTGGAAGAGCTGACGGTAGGTGCCTGTGCGCACTTCATCAACGACCGTCGGCTCCAGGTCGACCATCACACAGCGGGGCACGTGCTTGCCGGCCCCGGTCTCACTGAAGAAAGTATTGAATGCCTCAAACCGGCGTTCTGCAAGCGAAGCATTGACAAGCTACACGCTGCAGGAACCCACGCCATGTTTGTTCGCATCATACGCTTAAAATCCATGCGGCCTGTTCTTGCTGAACAATCAGGTGGTAGGGGCTAGCAGTGCTGTGAGACTTTCAGGCTGACGTGCTAAAGAAAGAACAGAAACGAAAAAGGCAAAATTATGGAAAGAGAAAAAATAAACAAAAACAAGGGCAAAAAACAGAAACAATGAAAGCAATCAAGAGCGCAATAAGCCAGCAAGAAACCAGAAAATGTAACAAGGGGAATGACAAGAATGCCGGATGAAAGAAACAATGCAAAACAAAAAGATAAGGAGAGAGAGAGAGAGGGAGGGAGGGAGGCAGGGAGGGAGGGAGGGAGAGAGAAAGAGAGAGAGACAGCAACAGGGACAGGGACAGGGACAGGGACAGAAGCATGGCAGAGGGAGAGACAGAGACAGAGACAAAAACAGCAGAGACAGACACATGGTGAGTTTAGGGTTCGTAGACGATGGGCTTAAGTGGCTTACTGTGAGGCGGTTTGGATTGTGGGTGGGTTGGCATTTAATGTGGGGTTGGTAGGCTGGGTTGGTTGGGTGCGAGGATCTGTTTACATTTGATTGTTTGGGGGGGCCGTGGTTCTGTTGTTGCCTGATGGGTGGCTTCGAAGGTGTTTAAGGCTGCCTTGGGCTGGGCTTTGGCCGGTGGAGCTCCAAACCCGACCGCAACCCTATTCTCTGCCCAAGCAAGGCTTCAACAAAGCCTTCCGGATATCTACGAAAAAGAACAACAACGATAAATAAGCGAGGGAGGGAGGGAGGGAGAGAGAGAGAGAGAGAGAGAGCGAGAGACGGGCATGCTTCATGCAAACTGAACATGGGTTGGAGAAAACATATCAGGCATGGTACATCATCACCTCCTCCAATAGTCTTGTCGGACGGCATCTGGCCATCGGGTTGGATGCCATGCTCCAAGCAGAACAGCTCCCAGCAGGCGTTGCCAATTTGCACGCCGCCCTGGAGCAGGGGTTGCAAGTTGCAAAAATGGTGTCATACCTGATGCCTTTGGGAGTACCCTACTAGAAAGTGCCTTTGCACATTGCCAAACCGGGGGTTGTCTTAGAAAACAGCCAGAGGGAAAAAGCAACTCAAACTAGTACAGGCTTGCAAAGACTCTGCACCACAGCTCCTGGCCGATGTGGATGCAGATCGCCTCGCGCATGGTTGAAAGCTGAAGACAATCAGAAAGTGCCGGAAACTCACCGTGTGATGTGGCTGCCTCTGGCACAAATCCTGGACCCAAAGCCGCGGAAGTGACTGCATGACAATCTAGCATGAATCAGGCCGGACTGTTCAAGAAATATGTCTGAAACCGTCCTCATTGCAACAACATCCGAATCGATCCACGAACAGGGATCCTCACTTTCATCTCCCAGCCAACATCAGCCATAACAACCCTTCAGCGGTTGCTCCTCGCCCTTCAAACAATCATAGTAGATTGTTAAGCAAGCCGCATCACAGCCAGAAATACTGCCAATCCCCCCCCCCCAACATCCTGTTGGCAAGCCCTAGCCCCATATCCGTAAGGTTGCTCTGAACGTCTGAGCTTCCTATCATACTGCCCGACCTATGCGCAGGTCCATAATATGAGGCCCAACCTGGACGCCGGAAGACAAGCATGCAGTAGAAGCAGGTAAAACATAAACAAATAAAACATAAACAAATAAAACATAATAGTAATAATAATAATAATAATAATACTAATAATAATACTAATAATAATAATAATAATAATAAATAATAATAATAATAATAATTAATAATAATAATAATATTAATAATAATAATAATAAACAAAAATAATAAACAATAATAATAATAATAAATAATAATAAATAATAATAATAATAATAATAATAATAATAATAATAATAATAATAATAATAATAATAATAATAATACTAATACTAATACTAATACTAATAATAATACTAATACTAATAATAATAATAATAAATAATGAATGATAAATAATAATAATAATAATGATAATAATGATAATAATAATAATAATGTTAATAATAATAATAATATCAATAATAATAATAAAAGCACACACAGCTGGCCATTTTACCAAGCGGCTACTTCCTACAGCTGAGCAACGCTATCGACAAGGCCCGCAGCCTCAAAAAAACCAGGCCCGCTCTTTTCTCCTTGTTTCCCCCGATCACCCGCACTGCCATACTTGCATCAGAGCTCAAGCGTTTATCGAACCCTGAAGACGAGTATGGATCGCTGTGCCACTGTTGCTGTTTCTGGTAGCGCTATCAAGCACGTCTTCCCCCTTGCTGTTTGCCACCAACGGGAGTGAACATTAATGACAGCATGAACCAGCAACAATGGACATTCATCCCGCCATGCGCTGGCCGCTCCGTGGGCAAACAAGGCAGGACTCCAAAACCGGCCGGCGGCCAGTCACTCAGCGACGGCCTAGAACTCATCACCGTAGCCTGGCGTGTTGGGCTGAAAAGAAGGATGAGCGTGTTGTTGCTCAAATCACCGAAGGCTCTTTAGACATGAAACGGAAGAATTGGCAGTTTTACCCCATGAAAATCCTTTGGAACAGTCAACCACCAGTCCAACAACTACCCAAACCAAGAAAGCTGCCCAATCAGGGTACCCTTTTTTCTGTAGTCTACGTTAGTAGGGGAACCCTCCCCCACAAAAGGGGCAAAAGGGCACTGCTGGGGGACCTGGCAGTCCAACAACTACCAAAACTAAGAAAGCTGCCCCCACACCACGCCGCGCCTTCCTCTTCGCCCTCCCCTTCGGCAGTCTCAATGCCCACCTCCTCGTAGTCCTTCTCCAATGCCGCCAAATCCTCGCGCGCCTCGGAGAACTCGCCCTCCTCCATGCCCTCTCCCACGTAGTGGTGGACGAAGGCACGCCTTTGCCAAAGGAACCAAAACGAAATCTGGAGGCAAATGTTAAAGAAGAAGCAAGAGATCTGGTACGATCTTGTGCGATCCCAACGCACACAAGGCGCTTGTCTGTAGATGTGTACGGGTTGTTGGCTAACCTCACCCAACAGTGGCTCAACCAACATTGGGAGTTGCAGGTGGATCCTGTCGAATTCATAGCGGTTGCCCCATCTCAACACAGCACTGCCATTGTCCTCAATCGCAAGCATCTGAGGAGCGCCACACTAAACCATCCAGCCTCAATCATGCTCACATGGGCGTGCCTTTTTTCTTCAGGGTGCCCCTTTTGGTGGTTTTAAAGGCGACACCCCGCATGTAGAGGGTACCAAAATATGCGTCACTAGCGACGAACCATAGCTGTTCCTTGGAGAACACGACACTGCAAGATTGTTGCGAAGCTGAAGGAACAAGCTCGAAGAACAGCTTCCAGTGGTTCCGTGTATTGTGGAATGCGTCGGATCACACTCGTCAATAATTGATCACTTGTCGCGAAGCCAATGCTGCAGGAGCTACAAACAGAAGGGAAATCAAGGACACTCTTAACGAACCAAACTAAACTCATCCAATGCTGTTGCAAGGTGTCTTACACGCAGTTGTTTCAAGCCATGCACTCGCACGAACACACAGACACACAGACACGGACACAGACACAGACACAGACACAGAGACAGAGACAGAGACAGAGACAGAGACACAGACACCAGACACAGACACAGACACACAGACACACAGACACACAGACACACAGACACACAGACACACAGACACACAGACACACAGACACACAGACACACAGACACACAGACACACAGACACACAGACACACAGACACACAGACACACAGACACACAGACACACAGACACACACAGACACACAGACACACAGACACACAGACACACAGACACACAGACACACAGACACACAGACACACAGACACACAGACACACAGACACACAGACACACAGACACACAGACACACAGACACACAGACACACAGACACACAGACACACAGACACACAGACACACAGACACACAGACACACAGACACACAGACACACAGACACACGGACACACGGACACACGGACACACGGACACACGGACACACGGACACACGGACACACGGACACACGGACACAGACACAGACACACAGACACACAGACACACAGACACACAGACACACAGACACACAGACAAAGAGACACACAGACACACAGACACACAGACACACAGACACACACACACACAAACACACACACACACACACACACACACACACACACACACACACACACACACACACACACACACACACACACACACACGCCCAAGCAAGCGCGCACGCAAGAACCCACGCCCGCGCCCACGCGCGCACCCACGCTCACGACACGAACTCACACAGACAGACAACACGAACACAAATGCAATAAAAGCCGCAGACGCACACTGTTAAAACACACACACACACTAAGTTGTAGCAAGGATCTTGCTGTACATCAGATCGAACTTGTGGTCAATGCGGGAGAAGACTTCGGCAATAGCAGTGCTGTTGGAGATCATACAGCACGCACGCATGACCTTCGCCAAGTCACCACCAGGCACGACCGTAGGAGGCTGGTAGTTGATGCCGCACTTGAACCCAGTCGGGCACCAGTCCACAAACTGGATGGTGCGCTTGGTCTTGATGGTGGCAACTGCCGCATTCACATCCTTCGGTACAACATCCCCTCGGTACCTGAGCGCAACAGTCAGAAGTCTGCACGACAGCACTCAGCACAAGATTATGTGAGAAAGCAACTTCTAGCCACTATGTCGAACTGTGCACAGTCGCGCAAAGCCACTGGCTCATGCAAGCACCCGCACACATACCCAAACACTAGCATCATTTTGAATGCTGACTGGCCGAGACACATCATGCAGCAAGCCATGTACTTGCCATGACGAGGATCACACTTGACCTCACGTGACTGGAAACAAAACGGAACCTTTGTGGGACTGCATTTCAG